TGTTGTCAAACCCTTTGTCCTGTCGAAGTTCTTAAGAAATTGTGAAACCCCAAAAAGTGGTGGCCGAGCCCGCACGCCTATTCTGAGAGACGTGAGGCCAACTGCAGTGGCCGACCGTTGACTTGCACGAGAGTTGTCGCCGCCATCACCGAACGCCAAACTCCCCAGGTCAGTGTGTACAGCCAAACCTTGACCTTGTAGCTGGTATCCGAGTGGGCACATGCACGCGTCCCAGGGCCCCGCATATGCAGTGCCAGCGTGTGTGTCACCTCTCGGGTGACAGTGCATTAACCCTAGTCCGACCTTGTCCTTTTAGAGGTCTTTAAACCAAATTTTTTTTGGTCAAAGTGTATGTTGATCTTCGAGTCATTGTGTGAATTCCCTAATCAACGACCCTCGATGTGTGAGGTTGGTCGATTAGTTTCCTTTGCCACATGCGAGATTTTCTCGACATGGCGGGATAGTAGTTCTGCATTAACGTGGGGCGGAGCCTTGAGTCTCGGCTGGAGACCGACTCAGTGGAAGAAAATTGTTATTGAGTATCTAGCCTATACTTCCTAAACCGCATACGAGATGTTGTTCGTGTCGGGGAGGAGAGAGGCTTTGTCAGTGGTATCAACAGAACCGTGTGTTCTAAATGTACCAGATATTGAGAATAAGTGATGATTGTCGGTCCTATCATGAGTTCTCGACCAAGTCAATAGTTTAGCCTGATGGTTGACTCCACCACCGGGACTTGTGAGCATGCATGCCACGTTCTAGCCTCGTAATGGAGGGAATGTGTGCGTGACCTCGAGGTACATGTGTATTGTGGCGAGCTGCATGTTAGGCAGAACCCTACCTGTATGGAGGTACCGGTGACCTGTTGGGACCGAATGTCCATCAGGGAAAGACCGGGAGGGGTACTCGTCGGCGTCCAGTGAGTGTAGTCAAGTTGAGGGCGAGACTATTTTGGCAGGGGGAGACCGAGATTCAGAGGGAGTACCCGAACCTCACATTTGATGTCCCCCTTTTTGTACTCTCTTTACTTCTAGTTGTTTTGTTTTCGAATTCCGAGGACGGAATTCTTTGTAAGGTGGGTAGACTGTAACACCTCGTTTGATTATGAATTATTGGAGATTATTATTATTTATTATTATTATTATTATTATTATTATCATCATCATCATATTATATTGTCCTAAAAGATGATATAATGCCCCGTTCGATTTAAT